ACTCTCGCTCTCTGACATCTCGCTTTCCTTCTTCTTTTTTCTTTTTTTTTTTTTTGTTGTATTTTGTTTTTCCCCCTGATATTTGTTGTTGTTGCAAAATAATTTAACATGAAAATATCGCATTTCATGGACTCATACATCACCCAGCACAGTGGGCATAGTCGAGGGTGCAGGAGGGGCTGGAGAGGGGCTAGAGAGGGGCTGGAGAGGGGCTGGAGAGGGGCTGGAGAGGGGCTGGTGGGGCGTGACTGGCCGGCGGGCAAGTGACAGCACTAACATAAACCACAATAATATCCAAAGTCATGAAGGAAGTAACCAAGTGTGAATTTTCGGTTTATGCTTTGCGAGCCCAAAGCGTCGTCGTTGTTGCTGCTGCTGCTGCCTTTGCTGTATTTTCCCGCTTTTCCCCGCTTTCCCTGCAACTTCCTGCCTTCCCATTTTCCTCACTTTGGCCTCTGGCTTGGCTCGGCGGTGTTCCTAGTTCTTCTTCCTGTTGTCGGTGGGTCAACTTAGGGTTGGCTTTTGAATATATGTACGGACATCTAGCGGATCCATGGCTCCGCAACTCTTAAATTCGGTGGCTTAATTAGAAACTTTGCTACAACGTAAATACACAATGGTTTTGTGCAAACAACAAATATTCTGCTATTTTTAAAGTTTAAACTGAGAATTTAGGTTCTCTTTTGGACGAAGTACAACAACATTTTATTAATATTTTATAAAATTCTTGAATAATCTTTAAAGTCCTTTTTTAATTAAAGACTCTTTTAATAATCTTCCTTTAATTTTATAACAAAATAAAATATATAATACCAATATTTGTATTGTTTTTAGGTGCTACTATATATTTTTAAATAATATTTACTATTTATACATATTTTAAAACTTCTTGGATAATGTTTAAAGTCATTTTTTAATCAAATATTCCTTTGATTATCTCCATTTAAATTATTTATAAACCTAAAAAAAAAATATATAAAATTATATATATATTAGGTAAGTTGTATAGTTTCCAGTTACTACTACTATTAATTCTTTTTTAAAATTATTTTTTAATTCTTTATTTATGTATTAATATTTTAAAGACTTTTTGGATAATCTTTAGTAATTTTGTAATCAAAAATTCCTTTGATAATCTTCCATTTAAATCAATTTTAAAACAAAATATTAAAATAACAATATTTTTAGTAAGTTGTATAGTTTCCAGTTACTACAATATATTTTTAAATATTATTTAAAATTTGTTAATTCTTAAAATCATTCTTTTAAATTAAAAAATCCTTAGATAACCTTCAATTTCCTTTAAAATAATTTTTAAAATAAAAAAAATTAAATTTTTAATGCGTTTAATAGTTTCCAGTTAGCTTTATATATTTCCTATATAAATAAAAATGAATTAAGTCTCTAAGAAATATGTTTGGTCTCCTACTTTCTCGGAACCCTGGGCTGTGGCTCTGTAAACCAAGAAGGTCTTCATGTGGCGGCCATCACTTGCCTTGGCCCGTCGCACAGTTGGGCTCATTGTGGCTTGATTTCCTGGGGTCTACATATATATTTTTCTTTTCTTGTTTTTGTTACCCCCTTTTCTCCTGGTTGTGGGCCCCCTTTCTCCGGCCTCATTTCGACGCGACGCCACTGGTCGCTTGGCTGGTTACCCCTGCAGTTGTTTTATTTGCGCTTCCGTTTCGCGGACAGTTTGCTTCGCTGTTTTTACTTCATTTTTTTCTCCCCATATTTTTGCACCTCTTTTTCTTTTTTCTTGATTTTTTTTTTCATTTTTTTTTTTTTGGTTCTACGGAAAAATGTTGCAACAAAACATTTACGACGTCATCGTTTCACAATTTTCGTGCTGTGCTCCGAGATCCCCATTCACCCATCCACAGAGATGCCTTGTGTGTGTTGTGTGTCTTGAAATAAAATTTGTTGTTGTCGCTCTGGTTCTTCATGTTGTTGTTCAAGGCCTGTCCACGCCCCTCCGCCACCCGCTGCTGCCTTAAAAAAAAAAAGACATAAAACAAAAACAATATTAAGAAACAGCGGAAAAAAGAAGAGCCAAACCTTGTGTCATTTATCATGCATTTCCACTTTTGGCTTCCGTCGACCGGGACGTGGCCCGCACAGACAAATGTACAGGGACGGACAGAGAGACGGACAAACGGACAGGCGGACAAACGGACAGGCGGACAGGCGGACAGGCGGACAGACGAACAGTGGCCGAGTCGAGTGGAGTTGCGGGCAAGGCAGTTTGGCGTAAAGTGAGCAAGTTGGCCATACAGGTACCCTTTACTCTGGAAAATAGAGAACATTATTTTAAAAAATATTGTATTGTATAGAACAAAAACTGAATAAATCAAAAAAAAAAAAAACAAAACCCATGATGACATGATGACAACTTCTATTAGCTTTATTCAAAAGCAAAAAAAAAAAAAAAAGAATAACAGACAACTTGCAAATACCCTTGCTACCCATCACATGTCCTGCACATTTCTCTCTTGTTTTTTTGGCACTTCTACTCTCGGACTCGTTCATTCATCTCTCGGTCTCTCGTCGTCGTGGGTGTATTTCTGCGGGAACAAATGAAGCAGTGCACAAATCATACACAGACGACCAATTTATGCGTTTTCATTTGCGTGGTTATACGCCGGGCAAACTAGCGACAAAAGCCCCGGAAATCTTTAAGCGAAAATTCAAATTTCATCAAAATGTGAACGAGAAGAAGCGCTAAATTAATTTCCTCTGAAGCTACATTTTCCACTTTTCCCCCCAAAAGAAAAAAAAGATGCCAAGTCATTTGCAAAATATGGAAATGTTGCCAGTGGACTCCGGCTACCGGAGGGAAAAATTCCTCATTTTTTGTTCCCTTATTTTTTTAAATATATTGAAACGCGCAGGAAAAGTTCCACAGGCTTTTTTCCGTTGATATATTTCCACGGCGAAAGGCAATTGATTAGGCGAAAGGTGGAGCTGACTGTGATGGAGTGAGCGGGAGAGCAGCGAAAGCTGCCTCCAGGTGAGCTGGACTGGAATGAGTTGGCGATTTTTGGAATCCTCAGAAAAAGTTGCAAAGAGAAAGTTTAAAATTCCAGACTCGCCCCTCAGCAATTTATTGTCCGGAATGGTTTGATGGGTTATGAATTTAAATGATTTCTTATTTATAAACTGAAAGGGAAGATGAAAAGCAGATAATCAGATATTGAATTTGGTTTTATTTTTAAAATTGTTTCTGATTTTAATTTAAAATTTTCCCAAAAAAACTGTATGTAAAATTATAGATAAATATTTAAATTTTAATACCCCTTTGAGGGTGCCGAAGTTAGCTTTCATTCATGTTTTATATAAAAATTTCCATATTTCCAAGTAAATAAAACAATTAGGTTTATAGCTTTTGTTTATTCCGGTTCCAAATCCCAGCCACAGCGATAATGGATTTGGAAAAGGTTACATGGTTGTGTGTGTTAATATAGATAAAATAGTGAAACAAAAGTGTATTTGACGTGTTCCTGGTGATTCATTATCGCTGGCAGGAATGGAATACAATGTGTTTATATAGATCCCGTCTTCGCTTCGATTGGGTCTCTATCTGAGCCGTGGGCACATTCCTTATCTGCGCCTTCTTCTACTCTCCCAGGACTTCCTCCATCTTACGCTTCTTCGGCTTTGGCTCGCCATCCTCCGTTTCGTCAGCCTCCTCAGTCTCTTCGTACTCCAGTTCATCGGCCCCTTCATAGTCCTGTTCATAGGCCTCTTCGTCTTCCAGTTCATTAGCCTCTTCGTACTCCTGTTGACCGGCCTCTTCGTCTTCCAGTTCATTAGCCTCTTCGTACTCCATTTCCTCAGCCTCTTCATCCTCATCCAAAGGCTCTTCGTACTCGCTTTCCCGAGCCTCTGCATCCTCCACTTCCAGAGCCTCTTCCGGACCCTCTTTCAGATCCCCTTCCAGAGCCCCTTCCAGAGCCTCTTCCGGAGAGTTGACTGAATGAAGGTTTAGAACATGAAGAATTATAATTATTATATATATATATATATATATTATAATTCTATCATGGTTTAGAATATGCCAAGTTGAAGTTTGGTGAAAGGTGTCGTCTGTGCTTATTTTGATGCATATGAAAAGCTAGATAATTTGGAAGACTTTCCTTTTCAGCAAACGAAGCCGGCAAACCAACGATTTTTGAGGTTACTTAAAGCTATCGGTATCGGTGTTGTAATGCCATGTTTTCACATGGCTTTAAAAAATAAAACTGCTTAGGTTAGGATTGCTATTAACAAAAACAGGGATATATTTTGTATTTCCAGTCTTTAAATATGAAAATTTAATAATAGAAAATAAGATATATAATCATTAAATAAAATATACAAAGAAGAAGCGTCAAAGACATCGCTAGTGCTAAGTGACTCCGATTTATCGACACTATCGATAGTATTATCGAGGGTGTGACAGCTCTAATTTATGCTTTTCTTCCGTTTCCTTTCTCTTCTTGCCTTATTTCCTTGTTTTCTTTTCTCCTTTTCTCATTCTTTATTCACCTCCTGTGACGCATCGAGACCGCATTTAAGTTGAGCCAGCTGTCAATGTGATAAATAAACTTGGCCTGCCAAAGGGTTCGGCCCCCATGTGCTCTGCTGCAACATATAAATAATAATCGGGCTGTCTCAGTTGTCTCCAGACAGTGCGTTTCGCGAGTGTAAGCCAGTTGCCAAAAATATAACAAAAGAGCAAGAAAATCAAAGATAAAAAAAATCAAAAATAAGAAAAATAAATAAATTAGCTTAAGGATAACATAAAATATATGTGTATATATATATCTACATTTTTATTTTCCTAGACATTATTATATGACTTTTCATATAAAGTAATACATACATATATATATGTATATTCTATCGGCAATCACTGTAAACTTGCCAAAACTTATGTACGTACTTCTGAGCTCTTGTCTGAAAGTTGGCCAACTGAAAATGAATATTTCCTTCTTTTCACACATTCTTTTTTGTTGCAGGGCAGAGGCACAAAGGCGACCATGGGTGTGGCATCGATGAGCAACGGGATGCTGGCACTGCCCCTACTGGCCTTGGCGCTCTTCGCCGGCTGTATTCTCCACGTGGATGCATACTCCAGTACGTATACGTGATATTCGGAGACCAGGACGCTGCTGGCAGCTCCTGTCTTCGTTTATTATGATTATTGTTTCCTCCTTCGCCTCGTGAACTGTAAATCCCCCCCTTAAAAATATCAACCGAAATCGACTCGAGATCGGTGGTGAAAATTTCATGCCTTCATCAAACCTACATCATTGACATTGAGAAAACCCAGAGAATCCGAGACCCCAATTTGTAGGCTTATAATTTGTTGTTTTCTTTATCCTTTTTTCCGTATGATTTTGACCACACACACACACACACACACACAATTGAAACCCCTGATCCCTAAACTATAATAACCCCCAACCTTGCCGCGGGCACAGAGTATGGCCGTGGATGCGGGGACATCGGCTGCCTGCCCACCGAGGAGTGCATCATAACCAGCGACTCGTGCAGCTACAACCAGCGGGACGGCAAGGACTGCGGCAGCTATCCCACCTGCAAGCGGCGCTCCGGCGGAGGATCCGTCAACAGCAGCCCCAACCAGGCAGCGCCCTCGGCCAATCCGTCAGGTATTTAACTTGGAATCCCCCACACTTGATCTCTTATGTTGTGCGCTTCCCTGGGGGAGTTGTCGGTATTGTTGGGATTCGAGGATTGGCGCAGCCCATCCTACATGGGTTTTTTCTTTATGTATGTTTTGTGTGGTTCCTCAAAAACAGTTTATGCGGATTATTTGGAATATATATATATTTTTTTATTTAATCAGGCTTTAGGGGGGAGAAGAAAGTCTTGCTTCGGGCCCCGAAGAGTTTGATATTCTTGCAGAAGAAGAGTTTGCATTATTTTAGAGAGATCTGTGGTCTGTTTAATAAGTGCATTCTTAGCGTATTATTTGTTCTACTTTAATAAATTTGTTTTAAATTTAAATACTTATACTTCCTTATTTAATTAAATATATTTAGTAAAATAAAAATATAAGTTTGAAATTCCATTTAAAAAATTCCCTCTGCAAGGATATTACAACTACTCAAAATTTCACTTTTTTTCCTTAATTGTTTAGCATTAGTTTTTTGTTTAGTTATTTTTTTCGTACATCATCAGCATATATATTTATGTATATGCCTTGCAATCAACTTTAATATTTATGGCGATCTAACACACACAATCCTGCACACCAACCAACCAACACACATACACACACACACACCCAGAGCTTTTGCCAGCTCAATCAATCTAACAATCAATCAATCAATCACCCGCTCGCTCGCTCATTCATCGCCTCATTTGCTCAAAGGCTTCCTAACTAACTATCCAACTAATCGACCTCTGAAACAAAGCCCAAACCCGCTGCTCTAGCTTGCTGCCAGAGGTTTAAGCATGATTTAAAAAGAAAGCACAGGAAAAACACTTAAAAACATTCATTTTTTTCATGATTTTAGTTTCCATAAGAAAATAGTGAAAACGGAGCGATTTAATCACTAAAGTAAAGAATTTAAAGCATACTTCTAGGCATTTTAAAAGGGATTTTATTTCTTCAGACTGACAAAATTTCATAAATAAATGTTTTAATAATATTTTCAAGGAATTAAAAATGAAAAACAAGCCAGATATTATTATGTTTGCCTACAAAACATTAAACTAAACTTAAATTAAATAAGAAAGTCACAGCTTAAGAGTTTTCAAACATTTTCTGGTCAAGTCTAAAAGTATGCTATATAAAAATAGAGATAAAAATGTAACTCAAAACTTAAAGACTCCACCCTAAAGTGTGTTTTCTCTGTGCTCTGGCAGCACCAAGAGAGCTGGACAGGGCAGGGTCATGGTCATGGTCACGGCCTAAAAGCATTAACAAACAAACCCGCATTCTCTCTTCTGTGTGCTCTCTGCCGAAAACAACTAACCAACTAACAGGATCAAGTCTGGGCCAGGGACCAGAGAACAACATCTTTGCACCCGCCTCATCGAATCCCACGCTTAACACCTACACCTACAGCCATCAGCAGGGCGGCGGTGGCGGTGGCGGCGGCGGCGACGGGCAAATGGCGGCCGGAAACGGAAACGCCGGAAATGGGGAGCGCGACAAGTCCGGAAGCGCGAACTCAAACGGGAACGGAAACGGTAACGCGGGAGCGGCGGGCGCCTCCTCCACGGGCATAATCGATCCGCACTACGTTTTTGGGGCCAAGCACCACATGCCCATCATACCGAACATGCCCATCTTCCCGTACAACTCGCCCACGTCGGCGCCCTCGTTCCAGCAATTCCCCCAACCCAATCATCCAGGCAGCGTCCTCAATCCCGGCTACCCGATGCATGGCCTACAGCCGGTGAATCCGTACAATCCGCCCTTCGTCTTCGGCCAGCTACCGTTCTATGGTGGCGGCGGGCCCACAGGCACAGGCGGTCCGCCCGGTGGCGTTGGAGGCGGGGCAGGCATCGGTGGCGGCGGCGGCGGCGGTGGCGGCATGGGTCTACCCAGCTCCACGCTGGGCATCCTGGGTGGCGGCGGCGGCGGCCTGGCGCCCTATGGAAGCAACTACCAGGGCTATCAGTCGCAGCACTCGAATGCGAATATGTACAACAAGCCACCGCCACAATATCAGAATCAGAATCAACAGAATCCCTATAACAGGCGCACCCAGGCGCATCCCTCATCGGCTGGCGTTATTGGCGGAACGCCCCTGCTCCTGGCCACCGCAAGCATCCTGCTTCTGGCCCTGCTGCACACGTAATAAACTGTGTTAGCAGTGGCAGCCACAACGACAACGAAGACGACGACGACGATCCCCGGAAAATTCAAGCATTAAAATGATCAAAATCAAATCAAATCAAATCAAAAAAGCTTAGCTCAGAGCATACTTTCATTTTCGCCAAAAACAAGGATATTGTTTCGTAAATTTCACTTGCAAAATGTACAGGGAATTGCGTAGAAAACCATATAATATTCCAATTAATAAGGAAAACCTAGCCAGAAATTTCAAAGTATAAGTTTTGAAGAGTGTATAAGTAAAAGTAGGATCCCTGCGAAAATGGAAGTAAGCTCTACAATTATGTACTCCCCTTTGTTCGTTTTAAGTTCTCCCTTTTAATATCTCATTTGATTTTGTATATTTTCCTGTTTCGTTTGGCATAAGCTTAAGACACACACACACATAAAATTGTAAACCAGTGGCAGTTGAAATACTATATATATTTTAGTGGCTACAAGTACGTAATTAGAAGTGTAATATATCAGGTTACTGCAGCTTCGTTATTACAAAAACAAAAGCAAAAATGCGAATGAATAATGCATGCAATTGGAAACAAATTCAGCCACAGGACATGCACAAAGGACCCTACAAAGTTTCCTGCAGCATTTTTGGGCACTTTGTGTCTCTTAGTTGTATTTTAATTACACTAGCATCAGCAGCAGCAGCAGCAGCAGCAGCAGCAGCAGCAGCTCTCTCTCCCTTCCCCCTCCACGTTATTGGCATTTTTTTGTGCGGCAGCCAGCCTTTGCCGGTCTAGCACACACTTCGTATACGTAATTTCAATTTAATATTGTGCGCCGGCGAGCGAATGTAAGCCAGTGTATGTGTTCATTTGTGTGTTTTCGACAATCAGTCAAGGGAATCCCCCCTGGGAGTGGAGTGAAGTGAAGTAGAGTGGAGTGGAGTGGAGTGAAGTGGAGTAGTGCTCTTTTTTGCAGCTCAATTAAATTGGAATTTAATTTCGGGCTTAGACGGCACCAGAGAGCCTCCCTCAAGTCTGACCGCTGTACACACACAGAGAGACATACACAGGCGCAGGACAGGCAGGCAGGATACTGGCTGCAGGACCTCGCACAAACGCATGGCTGGTTGGGCAACTTTGATGTTAATTTCGTGTTTGTTGATGTTACGAATTTAAGGCCAGACTCTGGGCCCAGCTTTTTGCTAGCTGCCACTGTCGGATACAGATACAAATACAGATACAGATACTTAGATGGATAGTGTTGTAGATACAGAGATACGCATGTCAATCAAAATTCATAATGAGCTACAGTCGAACCGAGTGACGAATTGCAGCAGCAGCAGCAGTGCACCAAGTGCAAGTTTCGTTCTGGTTTTTGTGTGTTTTTTTTTACCAAATAATAATAAATAATAACCAGTGAAAGCAATTTAAATGGCATTTTAAAAGAGAAGATGGATTAAGCTAGCCTAAGGTGTTCGAAACTAATCTAAAAACTAAAAACTAAAAACTAAGCTAAACAAACTATTAATAAGCCGACGGAGAATCAAACAAGGTCACGAGGAATGCATTTACATTTGCTAACAACCAACTGCCACACACACGAGACCAACATGGAAATCACACACGAATCGAAAGCCAAAAATACTCAAGTGCTTCAGAATGTTAATAATTGCATTAGGCATTTGTCCCAGCAATATTTTATCTATTTAATAATACAGTATTTTTGAGATACACCAATCTCAGCCACGAGCAAATCGAGTTCTGAGAGACCAAGGACACTAAACAGTTGATAAAACGTTCTGCATACAAATTATACAAGTTGATGATGCTGTAAATTCCGGTAAATTTGTGACCGGAATATTTACTCCGTCCGTTTGTATTTGAACACTTGATTTTTGGGACACATTTCGCCTGACATTCATTTTGCCATCTCTGAAGTAAGGAAGCCTATAATAACAAGATGAGTAACGTGCCCTCTTGAAATTGTATTTTAAAGTGAGAGAAAGAGAGCGCTCTCTAAGGAGAAATTTACAGGGGTTCTCTTTTGAAATTGTAAAAGCCACAAAAAGAGAGCGCTCTCTAAGGAGAGAAAATATTTCTAAAATTTGCACAGACTCTCTCTTAAAATTATATTGTAAAATCTGCAGAAAGAGAGCGCTCTCTAGGGAGAGAAAATTTCTAGGAAATTTGCAAAGGCTCTCTCTTGTAATTATGCTGCAAGATCCACAGAAGGAGAGCACTCTCTAACGAGAGAACATTCCTAGGACGTTATGCATCTTGTTATTACAAGGTCTTTCTTTGCCTGAACCCTCAACGAACCATGTAAACCCTGTATGAACAGTATTAAAAAAAAACCAAAACTAACTAAAACCAAAATAGAAACAATGCAAATACTAATCCCGCAAACAAATTAACGATCAAACAATAAGTATTCGAGTATTTACTAATCAAAGGAAACCAAATAAAACAACTAATGATGGGGAGAGTTGTACATAGCATTAAAAACATGTGTATGGAGGTTATATATTTAATATACTACAGCGAAGACTTAACTTAGACCTAAGCCCAGGTGGATGAAACTCAAAGTTGTGTAGATTTTAATCGGTGCAATTGTTAATCAAAACAAAAACAAAGAGAAAAACTAAAAAAAAAGATAAGGATAAAGATCAAGCTAAGCTAAGTTCATTTTGCCCCCCTTTTTGTGTTCTTTTCGCCTAATTTGTGTTCTCCGTTTCTCTTTCGTTTCCATTTACCAACTTGTGTTTTATGTATCACCTCCCCAAAACTCAACCCCGCTTTTGTGGCTAACACATTGCTTGCTGCTCTGCTTGAACGCCGATCCAGAGGTGAGCCATAACGCATACGCCCCGAATGCCCCCAGTGCCCCGCTGCCAGATGCGGACGCGGGCAGCAACCCGAACGGAAACGGCGGATACGGTGGTGGCTTCTCGGCTGGCGGTCATTCCCTGTACCCCACTCTCCCCAATGCGAACTCCGGCGGTGGAATGGGTGGAAATGCTGGCAACAATGTTGGTGGCGGCGGCGGCTACAATCCCTACGCTGGTGGTGGTGGTGGCGGCAACGGCGGCTACAATCCCTACAATGGCAGCTATCAGCCTGGCAATGGCGGCTATCAGCCCGCTCCTGGTGGCTATCAACCCGCTCCTGGCGGTTACCAGCCTGCTCCGGGCGGCTACCAGCCGCGTCCTGGCTATACACCGCCTGCCCCCGGCTACGAGAACAATGGTGGCGGCGGCGACCAGAAACCCAAAGACAAGAACGGCGGCTTCTTCTCCAACTTCTTCTCGAATCCGGCGGTGAGTCAAGCGGTCTCCGGTATCATTGCAGGCCAGATAGCCAAGCAGCTGCAGGGTGGCGGAGCCAACGGCGGCGGCGGAGCTAATGGAGGAGGAGGAGCTGCCTATCAGCCCAGCGGTGGCTATGGCGGCGGATCTCCAGCTGGAGGCGGCGGCGGCTCTTCGGGCAGCAACATCCTGGGCGGCCTGCTTGGGTCCGTTCTGTCCGGCGGTGGAGGCAATGCCGGAGGCGGTGCTGGCGGCGGAGCTGGCAGCTTCCTGGGCAGCCTGCTCAGCGGCGGCAATACCAATCGAGGTGGAGCCATGGGAGGCGGCGGCGGTGGCGGTGGCCTGGGCGACATCTTCAGCTCCAAGAACTTTGGCGGTCTGTTCAGCGAGAATCCTTCGTCCAGGGGCGGCGGCGGCGGCGGCTCCTCCGATGGCTACTCCTCCAGCAATGGCGGAGCCAAGAGCTATCCCACCCAGGCGCCGGGTAACTACTACGGCTAAGGCGCAGGACACCCATCATAATCTTTCTTTTGTTCTTTGGCAACATAATCAAATGGAGAACTTTCAAGGCAAACAAATTTAACTGAAACAATATTGAAATATATAAGCATATTATACGTAACTATTAACGAAGTTTATACAAATACACAATACAACATATATATATATACAGCATATATACCCGATTCTTGAGAGCGGTGTGTAGAAACAGCAAGTCCCCATTCGGAGTTCATTTGTAAATAGAGAAGATTCTGAAACTGAAATTGAACAATATAATACATATACGTAAGAATTGAAAGCCAATTTGCACAGAATTTGTTATTTTTTTGGGGGAGAAGGCTAAGGTATTCTGATTTCCAGCTAGTAAGTATTATTTGGGAACCCCAAAAATAAAATTTAGTTTGATCCTTCTAGAAAAAACGATTGCTTGGTGTAAGTATTATTATTATCTTCTTAAATAGCAAAAAGTAAGTATCTAATACTTGATTAATTCTAAGATAAACCCCTAAAAATCAAAGTCATAACTTTTAAGAAGAAACTGCTGCCTCCCACCAGAAAAATGTTCCCTCGACTTGGCAAAATTCTACTCGAGGCGGCACTCAAAATGCGTAGCATTTCCGTCTCCACCTGTCTTCCTCACCTGTGGACCCTTCTCCCCGTGTGTCTACACTTCACGTCGGCCACACCACATCACACACACACACACACTCTCTGCCTGCCGCTGGCAGTGCAAGCCTCAATACCCGCCCCTCTATCAACTCGGCCAACAAACATTTTGTTGCCTTTTGTTGCACAGGAAAAATTGGATTATAAATTTGATAAATCCCTTAAAAACCAAGGCGGTCTATATAATTGACTAAAAGCCTTTAAAAATAAATTATAAGCTAATTAGAATAAGTTTAAAAGTAGAAAATAAATATTTGCTTAATTATTATGAATCTTAGTTTTGGAAAATCTTATTTTTCCCAAATTATATTGAGTTTTTGAGATCTATGAAGAAAAGGATTACATCTTGAACTTTACAGATTACAAATTTACAGGTCTATCGACAACTATTGATAAGTAAGCTTAAACTAAACGATAAAACATTTACTTTTCAAAATGTAAATAAATAAATTACTTAAAACAGTTCAAGTTAATATAAATAAATTAAATATTTTTGGAATATATTTTAAATAGAGTCCTTTTGGGAAAAAGTTACTTATATCGGAAACTCTATTTCTTAAAATTTCTATTGATAAATCTAAAATAACATCTTAAATTAATGTAAATTAAAGTAAGCATAAACCAATTGCATGCTTTCAAACCCCTTCATTCATCATAAGATAATCATCGATTTGAGTTCTTCAGTTCAACTTATCAAATCCCTTCTTTAAATTGAGTGAATTTTTATAGTATAAGAAGTTATATTTCCTTCACTTTCAATCAATAACTATCGATCGAGTGGACCCTAAGATAAACGATAAGGAAACCCATTAAATGAATATAACTATTTAAACCAAAAGTAAATCGATTTAAATTCCGATTGCTTGAAATCTCTTGAAATCCCCGCTTTCGACTGAAACCATTTGGAAAGGCTTAGCCATTGAAGGCTAATTTTCTTGCAGTGCACGTGTGTAGCTTTTGCTGTTGCTAGTGTGGCTGCTTCACTGCAACAATATATTATGCGCTTAGCTCCTCAACTATGCAGCCAAGCGAGGGCGAGGGCGAGGGCGAGGAAGGACGGACCACCAGGCGGCCGGGTGGCCATTTGGCTTTGGCTCTGGTTAACCGACTACCGTTTTGTAATTTATTTAAGTAATAAAATAAATATATGTACGTTATACGAACACTGTGCACCTGCCCTGCCCTGCCCTGCCCTGCCCTGCCCTGCACTGCACTGTGCTGTGCTGTCCTGCTCGGCTCTGGAGGACCTGAAGAGTTCCGCAGAAAGGCGGCGGCGGCGCACATGCAGCACTGCATCGGAATGCGGCATGGATGTGGATGTGGATGTGGACGTGAGCGTGGACCTGGATGCGTTAGTGGGTTTGTTGTCAAGCGAAAGTGCGCTTCAAGTACACGAAGCACCCACTTACCCAAAGTGAATTTAGTGTCAAGTGCAGGAAAATGTGAAAAGCAGCTGCGAGTTAGTTTTTCATATTTAAGCAGCACTTCAGCCCGGCAGCAGCAGCAGCAGCAGCAACAACAGCACATACTGCTCCGCACAGTGGGGTAATTTTTGAGCGTAGAAAGCGAGATCACAGATTAATGCAAAAGAACTCATTTTTAATTAGGTATTTAAGGGGAATATTTTGGAGTTTTAGAAGGAAAGTTAGGGAAATTATTTCTCAAGAAAACGTTTAAGCGGTCAAGTAACTGTTAAGTTAATGCCTATAGTTATAGGTATTTTAGATAGATTTTTCCATCTCTTTCAGACTTAAGACATCCCTCTTTTCGATCTCTGATCTTTTCAAGAAATTAAGTATCAAAGGTTTTCAAAAATTAGCTTTCATTCTTTCTGTTTTCGACCTTTTTATTTAATAATAAAATATAGATTCTCCATCAGATTCTACTGTGCCAGCGCACCTGCGAAAAGAGAGTGGGTTGCGGATCAAGGACCAGGAGCAGGTCTGGCTTGGATTTCAGCTGGTGGATCCTTCAGGGCGAAACAATGACTGTGCCGCCATTTAGAAGCCTTTCGTCCTCCCCCCACCTCCCTGGACGACGCCGCGGCGGATGTCGTTGACTTTTCAAGTCGCATTAGGAGCGACACGGCGGCGTCGCCTTCGTTCACAGTGGGCTTTGGGTGCCATAGGGGTGCCCTGTAGGTGGGTGAGTCTTAAGTGTGGTGCCTCGCGGTGGGGCATAAAAATACATGTAAGAGGCTTTCAGCTTATTGTTTGGCACTGTCGCGCTTTTATGATTGCACGCAGGTCCTTGGCGCTCTTCGGTCGCCCCCATCTCGGTCCCTTATATCTTGTCTCGGCTTAATTTTATTGATATTACACGTACTTGAAGTCGACGACCAGGTCGAAAACAGGCGCCGCCAACTGTCTCCCAACCGCCTGCGACCCCTCCATGCATTTCCATTCACATTCGAAGCATTTGGCTATTAATTTTTACGACTTGCGACTTACGGCTTACGACTTACGGTGGTAGCTGTGAGCTGTGAGCTGTGAGCGGAGTTGATCAATTTTTCATATCTATTGGCACTTATGTACTTGCCGCGATATTTGTCTTATATATTTATGATGCACTGGTGCTTGTGCAAATCCAATTACGGTTTCATAATCAAGAATCGGAGACCAGCAAGGTTTTGGCACTTCCTTTTCTTTTGGTTTTTTCTTCTTTGCGTTTTCTTACCCAATATTTTGTACTGCCAAATAATTACAGATTACAAATTAAGCTTATTTGTATGTTAACAATTTCTGTCTATAATGTAACTATGCCGCAGAGTTGCTTTTTTTCGTAGCCAATCGAAATCGTTTCGCTTTGGCGTATAATATACTTGTTTTGAGACAAATCAAAATCTAAAAAAAAACATAACTCCCTCAAAACTGCATTAATTTTAATTTGGAAAGCGGTGTAATGTTAGTTTTAATTAGCTTAACAAATCTGCATACTTAATTTAAAGTCTAAAAAAATCATAACTCCCTCAAAAATAGATTTAATAGATTTGCATATGGAATGGCTAGAAAGGCGCCCCTGTCAATGCTGATCAAGAATATATATATATATATTTAAATATAAATTATATGTGGCATTAAGTGGGATGCCATTTTCTCCCAATAATGCAATAGAGCCAGATGAGCATCACTGGCGTTAAATGGGATGAGCATCAATGCTTTATGCCGAAATTGTGCAAATTCATACATTTCTGGGAGTCAAGTAACAGGCGAACAGAATCAGCAGGAGGTGGATTTACATTAGTGCAAATCAATATTTTCACTCAATGTTAATACTTCCACTCATTGTTTTCACTCTTCGCCACAGATCAGCTCATGTGAGCATTAGACCTCTGTGTTCGAACGTTGTTCGAAACGGAGAGAGAGAGAGAGCATGAGAGCAGCGGTTACTATAACTCTTTGACACAATGGCTCTTTGAGAGCAACGATTAAAACAACTCAAATTACCGTATTGCTCAGAGCTGCACGTCAGCTACGGTCTTCGCTCTTAGGCTCTGTGCTCGCCAGTTACGATCTTTTGGGAATCAAAGAGCAGAGAGAGAGAGAGCACTCGGATCAGCGCATCAGCTCACATTCACTCTTTTGCTGTTTGTTTCCAAGTTACTCAAAATTGAAAATATAGCAATTTATTCTACAATTTTCGGGGAACTAAGAAAAAGCATGTTTTTGTTGTAAAACTGTGTTGTTGTACAACAGTTTTGTTGTTGTAGCCAAAAACCCAACTTCAATTTGTACCTTTTCAGTACAAATTCATTAACTGCTGGGAGCCAAGTACCAGGCGAACAGAATCAGCAGGAGGTGGATTTACGGTAGTGCAAACGAATTTTTTACTCAAATTACGATATTTCTCTGGGCTGCACAGCTCAGATACGGTATTCGCAAGTAATGGGTTGCACTCATCTTTACTCTTTAATTTGCGTAAGACCGTAACTGGCGAACACAGAGCAGGAGAGCGAAGGTTAGCACTCGCAGCGGAATCGTAATTAAGAGAATAAATAACGTGCTCTTAACTTTGCTGCTTAATTCCCCGAAGATCGTAACTAACGAACAAAGAGAAGGAGAGCGAAGATGAGCTGATACGATGCTCTGAGAGATATCGTTAATTGAGTGAAAATAATATCGTAATTTGAGTGAAAATAATATCGTAATTTGAGTGAAATTATTCGTTTGCACTAACGCAAATCCACCTCCTGCTGATTCTGTTCGCCTGTTACTTGACTCCCAAAAATGTATGAATTTGTACTGAAAATGGCCAGATTGATGTCGTGATTTTGCTATAACAATAAAAACAATATTCTTACAATAAATCCATTTTACAATAACAACAGTTGTTCTTTTTCATTGGGTCTTTGGGTTATTTTAGTCGTTGCTCTCAAAGAATCAGCGAGCTGATCTGTGCCATGAGTTATATAATGAGTAGAAATGTTAAAATTTCAATTGTTCATAACTCGGCCAAAAATGCATGAAATTCAATTCGGAAAGCTGTTCTGAGTTGCCTTTTCCAAGCTTAACAAAACTGCAATACTTACCTATAATTTATAAAAAAAGGTTAACTAGTTTAATTTAATTTTACATATCTTTATTTATTATGGTTACAGCACTGGAAGAGCAAAAACGAGAGCGTGCGCAGCGATCCGC